ACGTCATAAAAACATCTCAGCATGGCCATGCAATTTCCTCAATCATAACTTATCAGTGGGCCCCATAAGACATTAATCTCTTAAAAAGAGTAGTGACAAATCCTATGTACGTAATCTACGTTTCTGAATATGCGCTGCGGCATACCCAAAACAAAGCATGTATACCATCCTTATTTCATATGGCTTAGGACAATGCATCAAAGTATGCGGGTTCACATATGCAGAAAACGTAATAGTTCAAGTCGAAGGATAGTTACACCCGTGGTCGCGCTAAAGATGCTTAGAGCATGAACTAAAAGTTCAAGCAACATCTTTAGGATGGGTCAGTCCGGCATCCTATTATCTCTAGATAATATCTGCCCATGTGCGGATGCGAACACACCGTCATTGACTATGAGACTAAGTCAAACATCCAACACACACTAGTCTCACATGCATTAACGATATCCCACTCTCGTTAATACTCGACTATGGACATTTAGATAAATATTTATTTCAAGATGTTAGTCTCATCAGCAGAAAAACACTATCTGATAAACATCTTTTAAATATAAATCTAGGAATATAATATTTGTTTACATTAGCATGAGATGTGTAAACATATTATATCTGCCTATACATGATAGAATAACGATAAACAGTTGGCCATCAGGACACAACTCCAACAGCTTCCTCAAGCTCTACGACCTTCCTCTTCCCCTCCTCCTCCAAACGGGCAGATCTTGCCCTCTCCTCCTCCAGCAAGGCCCTTTCCTCCTCAAACTTGGCCCTCTCAGTCCTCAGCTCTACCTCCAACCGTCTCTCCCTCTCGACCAGGTCATTTATTTCTGATCTGGCCGAATCAAGCAGGACATTCAGTTGAGAGGGATGGCTGGTTGGCTCGATGAGTGTTTGGCCAATCTCTTCAGAAAGGACTCCAACCTGGAAAAGAAGTTTGTCAGTTAAAGTGGAGGAAATAATTAAACCGGGCGAAAAAGTAGAGATGGCATACCTTTTGGAGTCTTCTGGTCAAGGCTATGAAGGCCTCTTCAACCGACTCCCCCTCCAGGTCAAGCGACCCGGTCTTCTTCTTCTTGCCCCTCTTTGGACTCTTATGGGAGCCCTTCCTTTTCTGGCCCTTAGCACGGGAAGAAGAATGGCCGGCCTCGTTAGACTTGGATTCGACCTGGACCTGGAGAGAATCAACCCGGTCATCCTCAAAGAGATGGGTGGCCGAAGGGGACTTCACCTTCTTATCTCGGATGAGATCGTCAAGGGAAGTGCACCGGGTAGATGAAGCCCCTTCCATCCCAAGGTTCTGAGGAGGAGAAGGAGGGTTGTTATTGGGAGACCGGTTGGAGTGGAGGACTTCAACATCATCGTCGTCATCTTCGAAGATGGTGGAGATCCTGGTGAAGTTCATGTCTGCCAAAAAGAACAAAGCAATCGGTTAAACATTTTACCTTAAGGAAAATGTAAAATAAAGAGTTTGAAGAAAGGTGACTAACCTGGATGAGGAGAACTGCCCTCAGCATGACCATGCTGGGACTTGGCCCAGTCATCTTCTGCATCATGGGTCGCAGACACACCCCCATCCGGGTTAGGTAACCGGTATACCCATCCACCATAGGCGTATGGCTTACCGGTCACGGGATCACCCTTGAGAAGTCTCTCGCACGCGTCCTCTAGCTCTTTAGTGGGCTTCTGGTGAACCCTTTCAGGTTTTATAACCCGGTCAGCCCACTCACGGTTAGAGAGTGGAAATTTGTCAAAGGGGAACTCAATGAAAACAAATCTTTGCTTCCATTTCTTATGGCTAGGGGGAAGACCGGTCAGAAAACCCCTAGAGTTGGCTCGGGAATAGAAGTAAATAAAGCCCGGGCAGTTACTAGTCCCGGGCAAGACATCATACATGTGAAGGAAAAGATCGAGGGAAGGTTTGATTTTTAGAGAATCACAAATATTGACAAAACAGTTCAAGAACCGGTGAGCATTTGGAGTAAGCTGACCGGGCAAAATATTGAACTTGTTACAGATTTCTATGAGGAGGGGGCAAAGGGGAAAGATAATGCCTCCCTCCAGCAAAGCAACGTGAAAACCCAACCGGTTTCCTTGGTGGGGTTCAATGATATTGGGCCATGAAGTTTTGGAGAGGATTTTGTAGCCCGGTGGAAGGACAGAACGGACTTCAGCCAGAACCTTTTTTGTAACCCTAGAGGACTCCTTGAAGACCGGTCCGGAGTCAAGGGCTAGGTAGCCCAGCGATCCCAGTCGCTCTTCCCATTGGTCCCAGCTGAGGACCTTGGGATTGAACCGACCGAGCAGTTGGTTCAAAGGGATAGGCTCCTGGGCAATTATTTCCCGGGCCTGAGAACCAGACTGCTGGGAGGGGCGGCGAATCAAAGGAGTGACAGGGGGAGAAGAAGATTCAGAGTGGGAAGAGGAAGATGGCTGAGAGCTCGACCCATAGGACTGACCGGATACATTCTCGCTATCAGAGGACGACATGATTCTAGCCTACCGGTCAAAAATGGAAAGATGAAAGTTTCAAAGACTAAGAGGACTAGAGGACTTACTTGGAAGAGAGCTAGAGAGAGGAAGTAGACCGGTTGAAACAAGAGAGGCGAGGAAGACAAGTGAGGAAATGGAGTGGGTTGAAGGAGTATTTATAGGAGAGAGAGAGAGGAGGGTTGGAATTCGAGGCGACAGGTGGGGGAAGGAGAGCGTGACACGTGTCATATGCAATGATGAGGGGGGGAATTTGAATTTTGAATGTGGAAGGTGAAGAGTTTTGGGGGGAAATTCAAAAATTGAAAAGTCAGGCCCAACGTTTGGGCTACCACATATCCAAAAGGGCAGGTCATGAGGTATATTCAACGGATCTAAACGCGACAGGTCATGAACTGGTTTAATGGTCCAAAGTGGATAGGTCTCATATGATTCCAGAAAAGGACAGGTCTGAATGGAAAGGCCTGATGATTCCAAAAGCGACAGGTCTAAAAGGAGAGGTCTAGTAATTCAAAGAAGGATAGGTCTTGAAAAGGAAAGGCTTGATGATTTAAAACGACAGGTCAACAAGAATGACTTGATGATTTCAAAGAAGGACAGGTCTTAGAGGGAAAGGCTTGATGATTCAAAAGGGCAGGTCATGAGAGAGACTAGGTGATGCGAAAGGACTGGTCAGCAAGGGTGTGAGAGGTCGCTGGAGTTGAGAGCTATTGTTGCTGAAAATTTCGTCGAAATTTTCCATAACCTCATATAAGCTTTAAGGTAAGCCCGTAGATATATCTAATGACTAAAATGTTGATATAGGTCGTGATGGGTATATCCTTATACCCGACCCAGATAACCGAGAGGGACATGTCAAAATATGACCGGTCACTTTTATCAATCACCAAATGAGGTTAATTCTTCGATTGGGACGGGTCAAAAATTGACCGGTCACTTCCACTAAAAAAGTGACCGGTCACATTTTGGGGGATAGCCAAAATGTCACCTAATGTGGCGAAGAATTCAAGAAGACCAAAGAGACGGGCTGAGCTCAAGAAATGACCGGTCAACCTTTAAGAAAAAGGTGACCGGTCATATCATCTTACTTGACAAACATTGGTCCAGTATCTCAGGCATGGTAAACCATGTCAAAGATCGAGGGACCACCCCGCCGTTCGTCCATCACGAGACAAACAGTGAAAGGAGTGTTTGTCACCTTGCAGGGCTGATTGGATTGAGAATATCCATTTATAGTCTTTGATTGAACAGTGCTTCTTGGGTGTATTAGTAGCAAGTCTATGATTGAACAGTGATTAGATTATGTACAGTGACCTTCCTCCGGGTTTCCTATTTTGTCCATGAGTGAACAGGGGAAGGTCACAAATCATCCTCTATAAATATGATGATATTGGATAGAGGAGGGGATCCAATTTTCTCTCACTAAAGTTCACTCTTGAGATAGAGTACGAAATATAATTCGGACTAAGGAGATTTACCCGGTCTAGGTCATACTTTGTGTTCTTGTTGTGTGTATTTTATTGACGGGTCAAGCATATCCAGGTCAAACCCGGTTATCCCACCCATCTATATTTACAGCATCAGGTCGTTTTTACGTTCATAAATCGTCATTTGGTTGAGTTTTGTGTTTGACATGCTTAAAGAACTAAGAATCATAAACCTTGAATTAGATGTTAAAACTATAAATTAATCATACCAAAATGACCTATGAACCTTGGAGAACATTTCTATATAGTTTAATTAAAGTTCGGTGAATAAAAATGGTATTTTTGAAATTGGACCCGTAACGAAGAACATGATGAACAGTGGCTGAAGAACCAAAGGGTGGATCGATCCACCCTCCTATATCGATCCAAAGGAGTATTTTCTCTACGATGGATCGATCCACCCTCCTATATCGATCCAAAGGAGTATTTTCTCTACGAAGGATCGATCCAAAGTGCTGGATCGATCTCCCGACCTGTCTGCTCCGAAAATAATTCTGAAAATATTATTTTTGAACCCAAAAATCCTATTTTTGATACCAATCAATTATGATTAATATAAAGATGATTTCTTGGAATAAGAATGGTGTTTTGACACCGAAAAAGAAGTTACGTGATGCATGACAGTAAGCTAGGGTGTTAACACTCGATGTTAGGCTGCTAATTGTTATTAGATATTATGATGATTGATTGATTGTTGATTATAATGAATATTATGGATTAATGATGATGATTATTCTGAATGAAATGACGATTATGAATTATTGAACTAAGTGATGGATACCCTAGAATGGGGGTATCCGGCCCAACAGGAATAACAGCCCCATCTGATTAAGATCAGGCCCACTCAGTGGAACAGATCTAGGTTGAAGTCTTAGGGGGGGCTGCCGCATCAAGATTTGCCTGCGCTCGGCCTATGTCGCTCGGCCTCGGGCCACGGTCGGCCCGCCTGTTGTCTAGGGTCTCTAGGGAGCAGAGCATGTGTGCTCGGCCTCGGCCTAAGATGGTACTAAACCGGGACCACAAGTATGGAAGCTGCCTGACTAGTCAAATCAGGGGGCCGACGATTGGACCCCTGCCACGCCACCGCCAGAATGGTTGCAGCCATCCTACTCGTAACCTATCTTGTATAGCCACCCTAGGGATAATGATGTGGTTGGCGCCGCCCATTAGACGGCCGAATCTTAATGGGCCTGATCTGTTGTAACTTGTATATAAGCCCTTTTTTGTATAGAGGAAAGGGGGATTCTCTTACGAATAATATTTACAATCTTCCTTGATTCCCAACTTGTGCATTCTCGACTTAGTGTAACACCCTAATCCGTCCAGGTCTGCACCCCCTTTGGGACTAAAGTATTAACTTGGTAATCGTAAGCATTTAAAACATTTCAAACACTTTTATTTATCACAATAATATTTTCCAAAACATAAACAGTACGGAGTTTTCAATATCGCAGAAGCTTAACGAATCATAATTACAAACATAATTTATTTATGTATTTTAATTCAAAACCATCACATCCATTCTAACAATCTCACCTCCGTCTGCCTCCAGGATCACGTCACATCGTTCTATTAACCTGCATGTAGCAAATAAAACATACTACACGCTCAGCGTTGAAGCTGAGTAAGCATATCTAATGCGTCGAACATCCATATAATTTGAATCTCAATTCATAATCAATTCATTTGATATCATGCACATAATGTTCAGTTTAGATATTCAATATTCAATTTTCAACATTCATTATTCAATCATTCAACATGTATATTCATCATTCATATTCAACATTTTTATTCATCATAAATCATACAATATTCATCATTTGTCATTCAACAATATCCTTAAACTATTCCTAGTCTAAGGTCAATCTCCTTCATATTTATCAATCTTTAAAAGAATTCTAGTTTAAGATATTTCTAACCAATTCTTAAACTATATTCTAGTCTAAGATACTTTTATCCAATCTTTAAGCTAGGCCTAGTTTAAGATAAACTTACCTTCGCTTAAGGTCAACCAGAAACCAAAAATCGGAGTGCTCACTGTCGCGTTAGGTGGTATCCCCAAATGAGTTCTTCTAGTTTATTTTGTAGATCCCGTACGTATGTTTTAACCCAAGCCACCAAATATTCATAATTATATTCGCAAGGCCTATTTCTAAGCTATCTTAGAGGTCTTCTAGATAGTCTTAGAAACCAACGTCAATATGAATATATCTTAGAGTTCTTCTAAATATCCTTAATAGATCATCACTAATTTCCAAATGAGTATATCCTAGAGTTCTTCTATATATCCTTAACAATACAATTCATTTTTCATCAATCCATTTGTTTTTATTCTAGTTCAATACTTCATAATAATCATTTTATTCAGAATAATCACCACCATTAATCCATAATATTCATGCATCATAATTATCAATCATAACATCCAATAGCAAATAGCAGCCTATTTTCGAGTGTTAACACCCTAACTTACCGTAATGCATCACATAAGATTTTATATGTCAAAAACATCGTTTTTATGTCCAGAAATCATATTCATATTGATCATAAAATCGGTATCAAAAGTAGGATTTAATAGTTCAAAAATCGGATTTCGGGAAAAATATTAGGTTCTGGAAGGTACCCGGTACGGTACCTCAGTACCGTGTCACGGTACCTTGGTACCAACCGCCACCAGGTACCGTGAGAAAAACACAGTGGAACGGTAGGGAGGGTACCGTTTGGGCGGTATAGCCTACTGTGCCGGTGGTACCTAGGTACCGTCCAGGCAGTAGGGTGGTACCGTACTGTGCGTAACTTTGAATAGTGTTATCTTCAACCTCAGGCCAAGTTTCGGAAATTCCATTTTTAGTCACCAAACTTCAATAAAACTATACAGAAATGTTCTCTAATGTTCATAGATCATTTTGGTAACATTAGTTTGTAGTTTTAACATCAAATTCAAGGTTTATGATTCTTAGTTCTTCGAACATGACAAACACAAAACTCAACCAAACGACCATTTATGAACGTAGAAACGATCTATACGAACATTCTAGTCACTAGATATATCTACGGGCTTACCTCGAAGCTAAACGATGATTCCGGCGATTTAACGGCGAAACTTCCGGCTAACACCACGACTTGCTCCGACGACTTTTCACCAAATTGACAGCACCACAGTACTCTCCATACTCTCAGGGACAAAATGGAAGAAGAAAGGAAGGATTTTGTGTAGAAATGAGAAGTTGGTCTCCTTGCTTATATAGGGAAATGAAGCAGGAAGAAGACATGTTGCTGACTCCTTCATCGATTATGCGATCGGCTAGTGCACTGGGAGGCGCCGTCTGTATAGTTCCTTGATTGGGAACAATTTTGGTTCCAGTCTGGGTACACTTTTTGATCCATCTTTCTCTGAATTGAAATCCGTTTGCACCGTTGCGATCAGACAGTTGAATTCTATTCAACGATATATTTTTCATAATTACTCCCTCCGTCCCAGTGTATTTGTCCAGTTTGACTTTTTCGAGTCAAATTAGACAACCTTTGAGCTTCAATTAAATAAAAATTATAATGTATTTTAACATAAAAATTACTATATTCAGTTGCCTTGGGTAAAAACGTACGTACGGGGTCCATAAACCAAACTTGAGGATCACTCGTTTGGGGATACCACCCAACCTGACAGTTAGTATTCTACTGTTCGGTTATCTAGAATTGTACCTTAATTAAGTGAAGGCTAGTTTAAGAGTTGAAAAGTCGCACGGAAAATATGTACCTTAAACTAATGACCTAGCTTAAGAGTTGGTTAGAAATATCTTAAACTAGAATTAGTTAAGAGTTGGTAAATAATATAAGTGATTGGCCTTGGACTGGGAATAGTTTAAGGATACTGTTGAATATGAATGTTGGATATTGAACATTTTCAATCTTTGTTACTTAGAATAATTTTTTGGAAAGTTCCCAAAATAAAAAAATATGAAAAAACAAAATAAAAAAAATTAAAATATGCAAAGAAAAGTCTTATACAAAAAAAATTGGACACGCCTAAAAAAGTCTTTAGAATTGAGATGTCCAAAAAAGATATTCATTTTTATTTTTGTATTATTTTGTTTCTTATTTTATTCCTCATTTTTTTGAAGTTCTCAAAAAAATTTACTTTTTTTCAGAAAAAACAGAAATTATTAATTTGAGACGTACATATGCATTATATGTTAATTTTTTCAATCAAAAATAACTTTAAATTTTAAGAACATTATAAAAATAATTTTAAAAAAACCTTTATTAATAAATGAAACATAAAAAGAAAAAAATAGAAAAAACAAAAAATAAGCGACTAATAAAAATCAGCACTGATACCCCCTATGGTTTAGAAAATATTCACCAATGCCCCCCCTCCATTCTTCGCTGGAAAAATGACCGTAAAATGATCAGAGGGGGCACGAGTACAGCATTTTGAAACTACAAGGACTTTAGAAATAAGTTTTAAAAAAAGAGGGGTATAGGTGCATGTTTTGTAAACCACGGGGGTACTCGCGCTATTTGGCCTTCCATAAAATTGTAACTTGGAAAGTAAAAAACGTTTAAAGTGTAAATTACACTTGACAACTTGAGTCTAGAGTCTAGACTTGATTAATTTAATATTTTATAATTTCGAATAATTTGATTACTCAAAAATATGTGGATTTAGAACTTAATTCATAGTTTGAAGGGGAAAAGATTAAAGTAGGATTAAAACATTGAAAATATACTAAAATAGGATTTCCATGTTTTTACTCTTGAAATAAGACTTACATTACCAAACATAGTCATGTACATCACCAAAAAGGTATAGTAATGTGTACATGTACAGTGCCATATTACTACAGGTCAAAATGAAATCACGCAGATTTTTCTCGAAATATAACAAAGAAACGAGCCTTATAGACTTTGGGTATATTTGCAAAATAATGTTTTGTTCAAAATTCAAATGAGAAATTTGTTATCCAATCATTTTTGTTTTAAAACTTAATCATATTGAAGAGACACAATGATTTACTCCCTTCCTCCCCCTGTATTTGTCCACATTTGACTTTTGGAACTGTTCATCTAAGCACTTTGACTCATCAAATTCTCTCAATGTGTACGCCTAAATATAGTCATGTGTGATCTTGTTTGATTTGTCTTAACATATAGATTATTAGTATATAATTTTTATAATTTTTTAATATACAAATTACAGGATAAAATAGATTAAAGAAGTGCATTGGATGGTGTGCAAAAATGAAAGTGGACAAATACAGGGGACGGAGGAAGTATATATTTATTCTTAGACGATACAACTATAATGTAAAAATATAATGATATTATTTTCGTTCCATAATAAGATTCTTCTTTACTGTTTATGTAATTAAATAATCTCTTCTTTTTTTTTACATATTTTTATTTATCATTTGCTTAAACAGAATAATGTAATTTATCATTCGCTTATATTGAAATTTAAAAAATTTCAATCAAAATGGCTTGCACTCTATACCGAGTATAATGAAAAAAAGGATGACATTCTATGCTGATTGCTGAGGGCCACTAGCTGAGAGAAGTAGATTGAAAATTAAGCTATTTGTATTCCAAAAATTATATTCTATTTTGTACTTCAAAGGCATGCACTAAAATTTTATTTTAGTGTAATATTGGTGTAATGGTTTATAATGATATAAAATACTCCCTCCGTCCTAAAACTTTCTTCCCATTGCGCAAAACGAAGAAAAATCCCAAGTTTTTTCAATCTATTTTATTTAAATATTGGTATAGAAATAAAAAAATAAAACATGGGAATAGTGCTCCGGGAAGAAAATTTTAGGACGGAGGAAGTATCAGTATAAATTTTTTTTATTACACTATCACTTTATGTTAGTGTGAACCGTAAAAATATCAATACATTTTTTAGAGTACAAATTGAGATATATTACTGGTGTACCTTAGCAAAATTGAAATATAATGTTAGTCCAATTAGCATAAAGGTGGAGATCTCGAGTATAAAGAAAGAAGAGAAGTGTTTGGTGGAAGAGATAAATGATGGGTGCGCATTCATGGGATTTATTTGTAGGGAAGTGTTTTCAATTGAGAAGTACTAGAGTCACAAACACCTTAGATCACAAAATATACAACTTTGCCATTTATATATTTGAAATACTTACTTTTTAATTATTTAACATTATTTAATTCACTTGGTGAAATACACAAACATCAAGATTGTATATTTTGTGATCAAAGAATTTATAACTTTAGCATTTCTCTTTTCAATTACTCCCTCCGTCTTATAATGATCTTCCCGGTTCGCAAAACGAAGAAAAATCCCAAATTTTTTCAATCTATTTTATTTAAATATTGGTATAGAAATAAAAAATAAAACATACATATTTAAAAACTACACCAAAAGTTCAACAAAACATGTAGTGACAAAAATATTTTATTTTATCATATAGGCCATGAAAAAACACAAATAAATATAAATTCCCGTGAAGTTGGAATAGTGCTCTGGGAAGATCATTATAGTACGGAGGGAGTATATCATTATTCAATGAAACTGTACGCACTCGGACAGCAAGCAATGAGTGGTCACTCTATTTTTTCGTTTGCTGCTTTTGTGGCTCGGCTCTCTACTTGTGCTCTATTTGTTCTCTAGCTCACTTTGGTCCCAGCCAAACTTTCGTGTTTTGATTTTTTTGTAAATCTCTTTAATCATAAATTGTGATATTTTTAATGGGTTAATAGCACGGGAGCCCCTTGTGGTTTATAAAAAGGGCGTCAAAACCCTCCATGTTTTCAAAAGTTATTTGTAAAGTCCCTGTAATTTCTAAATAGAGCACACATGCCTTCCTTACCTATTTTTAAAGCAAAAATGACATTTATACCCTTTGTTTTCCCCGATCTTGAATTTTTCCAATTTCAATTTCATTTATTATACAAATATATAAAATAAAATATACGCTTCCCATCTCAAATTAGAATTTTTGATAATGTACTTTTGAAATCAAAAGATTTTTTTGGAGAATGTTACAAAAAAAATGAAAAATAAAATATTACGTACAAAGTAAAAAGTGATAATAGTTAAAAAAAAGTAATGAAAAGAAATAAAAATATAAAAAATAGTCTTTTTCTTTAACTCCATATTTTATTTCATCGTTCTGTTCTTCATTTTTTAAAGTTCTTAAAAAATTATTTTACTTTTAAAAAACAAATAAGTTAGAATTTTTAATTACAGATAGAGTGAGTATATGTTATCCAATTTTTTATTTTATTTATTTTACTTTTACTTATAATGAAAAAGTGTATTTTATTTCATTTTTGTAACATTTTCTTAAAAAAATTATTTTTTTGAAAATTAAATAAATAAGAAAATTTAATTTGAGAAAGAGGGTGTATATTTTATTTTATTTATTTGTATAACAAAAAATGTAAAGAAAAGAGTGAAATTTGAAGATAGAGAAAAACCAAGGGCAGAAATGTCATTTCATGTGTAAAATAGGCAAGAGAGGGTGTTTGTGCACTATTTAAAAACCACATGGGTTTTACAAATAAGTTTTGAAAGTAGAAGGGGTTTTGGCGCTCCTTTTGTAAACCACAGGGGGCATCCATGCTATTATCCGTATTTTTAATGACAAATTAAGAAAAACATATACCTAGAGTATTTGATTATAATGTAAATTCAATAGAATCTGATTTATTTTGTGATACAGTTTTGATTATAATGTACTCCCTCCGTCTTAAAACTTTCTTCCCAGAGCACTATTCCAACTTTACGGGAATTTATATTTATTTGTATTTTTTCATGGCCTATATGATAAAATAAAATATTCTTGTCACCACTTGTTTTGTTGAACTTTTGATGTAGTTTTTAAATATGTATGTTTTATTTTTTATTTCTATACCAATATTTAAATAAAATAGATTGAAAAAACTTGAGATTTTTCTTCATTTTGCGCAACGGGAAGAAAGTTTTAGGACGGAGGGAGTAAATTCAATAGAATCTGATTTATTTTGTGATACAGTTTTGATATACTCCATGTACAAAGTATCACATTTTTATAATATATTTATTAATTTAAGTTATGTTTAATACTTCTTCCGTCCCAAATTATTTTCCACATTTCTATTACCGAGGCAAAATATCAAGTTTTTTCAATTCATTTTATTTACATATTTGTAAAAAAATAAAAAATAAAAATTATATATAAAAAACTACATGAAAAGTTCTTCAAAATAATAGGTGTCAAGAATATTTTATTTTATCAAATAACCAATAAAAACGTAGAAATAAACAAAAGTTCTCGCGACTGTTGAAAAAACAAATGTGGCAAATAATTTGGGAGGGAGAGAGTATGAAATATAAAAAAATGTCATTTGACAAAAAAAATCAAAATAAGAAAGTTTTTCGGACAGAGGAAATGAAGTATAAATAACCCTTTCTCTCATTACTGCTGTAGTCTCTCTCAATCAATTCATTCACTAAATCAGCAGTACACATTGGTATAGACAGAGAGAGATAGTGGAAGCTTTGTAGAGGGAAAAAACAAAGAAATGTATGCTCAGGAAGGGCTACTTTTTCCCTACTTCCAGAGCTTCTCTCAAGAAGCTCAACAAATTGAAGGGTTCTATTGCTCTCAAAGACCCAATGCTTCAATGGTGACGTACTATTTATCCTTCAATATTGGGATTTTTATAATGCAATTTTATAGTAACTTCTCAGGTTCTATTCTCCGATCAATATCTCTATAATGATTTGAACTTCAGTTTGGTTATATGATGTGAAATTTTGGCTCTTGATTTCATGAGGGTTCCAGCATCCACCTCCTGCGAGCTTTGATTTTTTGGGCTAATTACTCCTTTTTCTAGGAAGGCTATATATAAACCAAGTCCCCAAATATTAAGCATTAAAGCATTCATTGCCTTTTTTAAGGGAAGTTTTGGCTTATATTTCTCAGTTTGTTGTTTACTTATGGATGAAAATTTTGGGTTTTTCACCTTCTATTGCTTGACTTGGGAAAGAGTTAGAAAAGTTCATGGCTTTATAGCAGATGAGTATATAAAGTATATTGACCGCAGTTGAGTTCCATTTCTGTGGTAAATCTGCATGTTTATAGCAGATAAGTGGCTATTTGTTTCTTCATTTTTTTTCTTGGGTTTTCTGGTTTTCTGCCCTGGATCCAGTATTTCACAGAAAAGAGATGTGAGATTGAAAGGTTGGGAAAAGTAAAGGAGAAAATGAGGGGACCCTTTTGGGGAAAATTATATGGTATAGCCGGGTGTAAAAAGCTATACGTACCACTGGGTGTACGGTATACATAATACATTCTCCCTCCCCTTTTAGTATCATAGATAAGGAGGCTTATTAAGTGGGAATAACAGCCCGTTTGATGCTAACTGTCTTAATTAAATACACAGTACTAAAAAGAATAAAAATAAAAGTTATATCATGCTGCAATTTGACTGTTAGGTGGACAAAGTTTCTGCTAATCTTAGCAACAAGTAGCTTAGATTGGCGTAATTGTCTTTTCCTACTCATTATAACAGTTCATTACCACGATGTGACTTTGGATGAAAAGGAATCAATTCAAGACCCCAAAACCAATTTTATAAAACCACTTGTTTGATCTTATCTTACTGCAGACTCGTCATCTGCCCACTTTACTTTTCTCAATGCTAGCCAGTTGCAAGAATCTTTTGGTTGCCCAGTCTCTCTCCTTATCTTGGGATCAGCATAAGCTCCTTAATGCTTGCAGGATAAAATATGAAAACCATTTCCAATGTTGTTTTGTGTTATCATGCTGTTTATGTCTCAACAAACTTTTCTTTTTCTTATTTTATGAAATTCCTAACATGTGTGGCATCCGTGTACTAGACATCATCGATATCAGAATATGATCTTGGAGGAGAAGGGGATCTCTTCAAGGCTCCAGAACCAATAATTGAAGAAGCGCTGTTGGATCTTGATCCAATGACGGCTGCCATCTCGTTGATTTCTTGTGCAGATGATGTCATCTCCCCACACAATGTTGAGGTTTCAGATATCGAGAACGGGCAGATCCTCAGTGAGGTTTTCTACGAATGCAAGAAGGATCTCTTAGTGAAGGATGGAATTGAAGCACCACTCTCTCAAGTCCTTGAAGATGTCACAAAGACCATTGAAAAGTGGGCATCAGAGGAACATTTGGATTCTCAGGGATCACTTCAGAAGACTGCCAGTGCAGAGCATCTGAACACCATGGTGGACTGGATACAAGGGGACAGTTCCTCGCTGAGGCAAAGTATTTTCAATTTTCCAGTGAAGGACTTTGATGCTGTGTATGGGATGAAAAGATCGCTCAGTGAAGGAGACATAAAGGTCTGGTTTAACTTTTCCTCTTGGTCATACGCTACTGTTTTGGCTCATCATCATTTTTGCTTCATTGGTTTGACATCTCAACTATGGTGAGCGAGCTGGTTTTGATTGGATGTCTTCCTACCAACATAGTCATAGAGGTGCCTTAGTAGAACATAGTGCAGGGAGCGTGCTTGTAGTATTAAAAATGATATTAAAAAAAAAGCATTTTTGTGCACCTTCTAATTCCTAAAGGAAGAAAGGCCTTAAGATGATTTCAAAGAGAGAAAAAAAGGCCTTGGATTAAACTAAATTCTTAAAGCCCGGTAGACTCATTAGGATTTTAGCTAAAGACTAGGGGTGGGGCGACCAGATTCCAGAAAATGCTAGGGACAAGAAAAGTAATTTTTTTGTTTGTCCTTAACTTGAAAATGGAGCCAAAGGCTCACTACTTTTTGGCTTTGGTGTATGATGGAATAAAGCAAAATAATTCTTTAAACTGCATGTGCTTCTTTTAATAGTGAAGTAGCAGTTAGTAAATGCAACTTTCAACGTTCATTATGGGTCACTTGGAAACAGTCGCTCTATGCTTTAAACGTTGGTGTCAGGCTTTGAGGCATTGGGGTAATGTTGTAGTTGTTGTTTGTCATTAACTTGAAGATGGAAAGGAAAATTTAAGTTACATATATTTAGAGTTTCATTCTATATAGCAGTTAGCAATCCCCTTAGCATACATATATTGTTAAAGAGTATCCCACATCGGAAAAGTGTAAAGAAAATAATGGGTATATAAGCTCTTGAGTTGAACTAAGTAATCGATTGGATTCAATCTTTTAATGTGGTTTGACCCATGTGTCTTATAGCCCAGTCCAAGTGATCCCTACTCCATTCTAAATTCTATCATGGTATCAGAGCAGGTTTTGGCCCACCTCGTTTTACCATACAGGTATGTACCCAACGGCCTGTGGCCCGTTTCACCTGATTGCTCGTCTGGAAGTACAAACCCAGCGGCTCGTGGTCCTTTAGGTGTTGGCGCTCAAAAAAATGAAAGGGATGAGAGTCCATTTGCAAATGGTCAACCGATTAGATTCAAAATGGTCCGGTCGTCCATTTTCTTCCACATTTTTTTTCCGTCTACGTTTTCCATCCTATTTTTCTTTCCTAGGATTTTCTAGGATCCAAATGGACCCCAAATAGGGTTTAGAGGAAATCAATTTCTGCAGACGCATATTAACTGCTGAGTTGGGATGATGGAGAATCCTATGAATTGATGATCAGTGGGACAGCACAGATGCCCTATATTTAGTTAGCATCTAAAGCTACTGGTAATAACATTAGCAGTCTAATTAGAAATCAAACACACCAGATGGGCATGAAGTTCCTAATAAGTAACAATGGTTTTGATTGAAGATGACCATGAAATATAAAGTATCGCCTTTAAAGAGGGGGCAAAAGCATGAAAGGTTTGTAATGCATTTCTCTTTTGGCATAACATTTGCATATCTCCATGGTTCTAACCACCAGCTGCCAGTAAAACTCCTTGGAGACCGAGCATTTCTTGGTTACGTGATGAAGTCTGCAAACCGAGAAATGTTAAGACGTTTACAACAGGATGGGGGCTGGGTCATTGATAAAAACGGTTTTATTGACAGACTCTTGGTAATGGTAGTATAAATCTCGTCCACTCTCCAATCCAACTGCCACAAACTACTATATGTAGTTCCATTTCTGAAGAGCGAATGGAGAAGCTATCCAGATACAGGATCAAGAAGGCGAAGAGGAACTTCGGCAGGAAAATCAAGGTAAGCTTTTCTGTTTATGCCGGTGCAGAAATCAGAACGTATAACACTCTACAGGTCTTGTTTATCTTTTTGTCGGTGCAGTATGCTTGCAGGAAGGCGTTGGCAGACAATCAACCGAGGATCCGTGGGAGATTTGCAAAAACTGAAGAAGTGGATGCATCCAAGAAGCATTGACTGTTCAGCACTCCACGAATAAGCTAGCTAGAACACAGAGGGATGCTGGTACTGGATAGTTATTCGCTGGTAGGAGTTGCTCGTTTTCTGTTTGATGATCTGTAATTAGTTGCAATAATGTTCCGGGTAGATTTGTAATCCGGTTACAGATGAGGTGTATAGTGTTGGCTGAATAAGAATTACAATCGTCTGTATGGTTTCTTCCAAAATTTTCAAGTGTTCCAATCTATTCCCCAGGCACGCAAGGCCATGAGACATTTGGTGTGCCAGTTCTGAGTATTTGCTTCTCATGATTTTCGACTGGAAATAACTTGAGCACGAATTGAAATCTTATATCCGGCTTTGCAATTTTCATATTATATTGGGTATTTGATAAAGAATGAATAATTGTATCCATAAATTTGGGATTTCGCCATGTTCATCCCAAACTTAATAATTCACACTTGTTCTAATTTCTAACAATTGCTCTATTTTCACATAAATACTCCACGCGCCACTGATATGTTCCAATTGAATTTTAATCAATTGGTTTAGAAAAGAGAGAGAAGCTAGATAGAAATGTAGAGAGAAAGGCAAGATAATTCTTCATTCATTCCATAATTCTTAACCAAAATTACATACTTCCTTCGTCCCGTTTTAAAACGTCTGTTTTAACTTTAGGGCATATTTAAGAAAGAAAAAATAGAGTTGACTTTCCGAAACTGTCATTACTTTTTAAGAGGGGTGACGATGAATGAAATGATAAGGTGGAAAAGAGTGACTTATTTTAGGGGTAGTTTAGGTATTTTACTCTTAAAAGTTTAAGATAACAAGAAACATGCGACTTATTTTGGGATAGAGAAAAAAAAAGAAAAACAGACAATTTAAAATGGGACAGAGGAATAATATATATAGAGTGTAATATAACCACACGCCACTCAACATGCATGGGGCATGGTTAATTAACTACCACACACTAATCTCCCCACTACTAGCACTACCACTAATAATAATAATAATAATAATAATAATAATAATAATAATAATAATAATAATAATAATACTTATATATAAAATTTGAAAATTGAAACATGTGACACGCTTATTGGGCAATTTTTTTGACATGTCAGCATGTCATGTCATCAAGTAATATTTAAAAAATTAGTTAAAAAACTTATTCTATGGACACAAATTCCTTAGCATAATCACGTTTAAAAATTTTTATATCTTAATTCATTGTTTTAAAATATTTAAATTAAACGATACATTTTGAAATTAAAAAAACTCATATTAAAAAAAAATAAAAAAATCAATTTATTCTAAGAACATATAGATTGGTAGGACTAAACAAAATTACATGCGAAAATTTGTTTTTACTTCAAATTAATACTAATTGGGGAGATTTTCCAATTTTGAAAAAAGAGAAATAAATATATAAAAGGAAAGGGATTTTTATGGGCATGTTTGTTTAATAGATCATTAATTTTTTCCATATATATTAAAAAATCTAAGTCAAATAAAAAGTATGTTCCATTTTAAAGTTAGTACTTTCCATTTTTAAATTTTTATTTTTCATTACTAACTTTGTAAAAATTTATAGATTCGTGCCAAAATTTACTATTTTCCATTAATAACTTTGTAAAATAAAGAAGACTTGCCACATGGGTATTTATGTGTAAGAAATTAATAACTAATTGGTGTTTCTAATTGAAATATTTATGGTATAATATTATTTGTAATAAGTGTGATTACTATTAAATAAAATTCTTGAATGAATTTGGTACCATCTGATTCGGGACTACCCCTTAAATTCTAAAGAAGACGGTTCTCAAGAGTCTTATGTTTTTCTATGACTATTAACAAAAGTCAAGGTCAAACATTATCTTTTATTGTATTATTTTTAACCAATTTGGTATTTAATCATTGTCAGCTTTAGTTTACTATTACAGGGGTGAAAGTAAAGAGATGATTAAAAATATTGGTTCTAGATGACAATAGAAACCGTTACAACCACACCAAAAATATTGTGTACCCTGAAGTCTTTTTTTAAAAATGGAATTAAAAAAGATCTTTTCGAGTACACTTTCAATTACTCAAGTATTATTTATTTTACTTTGTTGTTGTTATCCATTTATTAAAAGTCATGTTAGAAACATATTTACTTGATTCCAAAAAATATATTACATTGAAAAAATCCAGAATAAAAAAAAATTTGTTTCATACTAGTAATAACAATAACAATAACTGTAACGCCCCAAAATATACCCTAGAATTATTAATGAATAAGTATTCAAGTAATCAAATTATTTTGATTAATAATAATAATAATAATAATAATAATAATAATAATAATAATTGTTATTGGACTTTGGGCCGAAATGAAATATGTTTTAATATTCAATATCAAAATCTGGATAAGTCTCATAGAGATAAATCCAATATGTTGACTTATTGTGTGACCTTACTTGGGAACTTGAGTACAGACCCAAATCAAGGATAACTGAAGAAATTTGTTTATGATATGAACTTTGAAATGATTTATTGAAATAAATCATGAGAATAAATAATATGAATGAAATGTAAAAACCTTTCTGAGTAAAGGTCAACAAAATTAATTTTTACTCTGTCAAAGTCAACCACCTAAAAATATGATGTCAGAAAAAGTATAACCAATAAATATAAAAATTATATCGTTGGATAGAGTTTAACTGTCCGATCGCAACGGTGCAAACGGAATTCAATTCGGAGAAAGTTGGACCAAAAAGTGTATCCCGACTGGAACCAAATTTGTCCCAATCAGGGAGTGGCATGTAAAATCCTACAAATCGCCGCTCACTCCACTCAGCCGATTACAGAGGGAAAGGAAGCAACGTAAATTTGGCTCCTTCCCCATCACCATTCCTATATAAGAGAACCCAAGCTCCTCCATTTCTTCACCATTTTCCTTCAAATAAACTCTGAGAGAAAGCTGTGAGTGTGGAGAACGAAGTTGTGCTGTCAATTTGGTGTGAAGTCACCGGAGCAAGCTACAATCCTCGCCGGAAGTTTCGCCGGAAAATTTCTAAAACCTCCATTAAGCTTCGAGGTAAGCCCGTAGATATATCTAGTGACTAGAATGTTCGTATAGATCGTTTCTACGTTCATAAACGGTCGTTTGGTTTAGTTTTGTGTTTGACATGCTTGAAGAACCAAGAATCATAAACCATGAAATTGATGTTAAAACTATGAATTAATGATGCTAAAATGATCTATGAACCTTGGAGAACATCTCTATATAGTTTCGTTGAAGTTCAGTGACTAAAAACGGTTTTTCCGAAAAATGGACCGAAGGTTGAAGAAGATGAACAGTAACCTGAAACTTCCCTGTCTGGATCGATCATATGGCTTGGATCGATCGTCTGGGAGTAGTTTTTCACATCATGGATCGATCCAGAGGGCTGGATCGGTCCCCCGAATTTCTAATCCGAAAATTTGTCTGGAAATGTTATTTTTGAGCTCTAAAATCCTATTTTTTATACCAATTGATTATGATCATTATAAAAATGATTTTTCACATTAAAAGTAATATTTTTAACAAATAAAATGTTATGTGATGCATGACGGTAAGTTAGGGTGTTAACACCCGAAGCTAGGCTGCTAATTGTTATTGAATATTATGTTGATTGATGATTATGGTAATGATTATTGATTGATAATTATGATGATTAAATCTTAATAAATATTCTGATTAAAAATGATCATTGTGAATGATTAAATCATAATGAATATATTGATAATTTTGAAAATAACATATTGTTAAGATATCTAGAAGACCTCTAAGATATACCCATATTAATGTTGATTTGAAAGGTATCTAGAAGACCTCTAAGATATACCTATTTAAGTTAGGCCTTGCAAGTATGAACCCTGGTGGCTAGGGTTAAAACGTACGTACGGGATCCAAGAACCAAACTTGAGTACCTACTCGTTTGGGGGTACCACCCACCCAACAGTGAACACTACGCTGTCAGTTTTTGGTTGGCCTTAAGTGAAGGTAATTTTAAGATTTTCAAAATCCTTTTGTCTTAAACTAGGCCTAGCTTAAGGATTATTTAGGAATATTTTATACTCGAATATAGTTTAATTATTTAAACTAGAATTCGTGTAAGGGTTGACAAATATTAAAGTGATTGGCCTTAGACTAAGAATAGTTTAAGGATATTGTTGAATGTTGAATATTGAATATTGAATATTGAATATTGAATATTGAATATGAATAAATATTGAATGATGAATATTGAATTGAATATTGCAATTATTATGAATGACTGATGAACATTGAATGTGAATATAAATGTTGAATAATGAATAATTTTTAATAATTATTGATTATCTGAACAGAATATTATGTGCATGATATCAAATGATTTGATTATGAATTTAGATTCAGTTTATATGGATGTTCGATGCATTAGATATGCTTACTCAGCTTTAACGCTGAGCGTGTAGTATGTTTTATTTGCTACACGCAGGTTATTAGAAAGAATGAAGTAACGTGGTCCTGGAGGCAGACGGAGGCGAGATTGTCGGAATGGATGTGATGGTTTTGAATTAAAGAACATAATAAATTATGTTGTAATTATGATTTGGTAAAGCTTCCACAATATTGAAAACTCTGTACTGTTTATATTATGAAAAATATTATTATGATAAATAAAAGTGTTTGAAATGTTTTAAATTTTTACGATTACCAAGTTAATACTTTAGTCCGAAAGGGGCTGCAGACCTGGACAGATTAGGGTGTTACAATAGCAATAGCAATAACAATGACAATGACAATGACAATGACAATGACAATGACAATGACAATGACAATGACAATGACAATGACAATGACAATGACAATGACAATGACAATGACAATGACAATGACAATGACAATGACAATGACAATGACAATGACAATGACAATAACAATAACAATAACAATAACAATAACAAGAACAAGAACAAGAACAGGAACAAGAACAAGAACAAGAACAAGAACAAGAACAAGAACAAGAACAAGAACAAGAACAAGAACAAGAACAAGAACAAGAATAAGAACAATAACAAGAACAAGAACAACAACAAGAACAACAACAAGAACAACAACAAGAACAAGAACAACAACAACAACAACAACAACAACAACAACAATAATAATAATAAGGTATGTATCAACGAGACAACCACCTCAATCGCCTAGTCAGATGTACATATAGAATTAGAAGACCAAATTGGCGAAAAATGTGCATTCTTTCCCAACGTTATTTCACTTTCCCAACCAGATTTCTAATGGTATCAATAAAATATTTGATTTTTATTGAGAATATAATATGTTAGAGTCGCAACAAATATGATATTACAATAGGCCAAAGGTTGATTAGTTACAACCGGACACCGTGTCAGAGCTATTAAGTTACAAAAGTATATCCAAACTACTAAAAATATTGGAAACAAAAAACATCAAAGGATTCAGACTCAAGTAGCCCAAAATCCGTGATTGAGAATGGTGAGAAACGAAGAAGGGGAAGGGCTATATTTATAGGTGAACTAGGAGGCTTGAATATCATGTCCGATTCATCTATTGTGATTATTGTTTGAACTGAGAACAAATTATGAGGTTTTGTTTGTTGAATTTTGCTACATCCAAAGGTTTCTTTGCCACAATTTTTGATAGCTTTGTCCTTGCTGAATTTGTGCTAAAGACTGATTTGTAGGCCTTTTTCTCGTATTGTACCTTCGCCCTCCTTTATACTCTATAATTCATTTTTTGCCAAATTCCTTCAATAACTAGCACAAATTCTACCAAAATCATAATAATTGCTTACCTACTAGCTTTGGGATACATTTTAGAAAATAATGTATTTTAACAAAAATAATTTAAATTTTATAAAAATATTTTTTTTAAATATACAAATATATTAAATAGGAGAAAATCTAAGATTTATATCGTACAGCCGGCATAAATTAGTTGCAGCAACGAAGAGCCATAAGCGACGGAAGAGAGGAAGAGACAGAAATTAGCAGCAGCAGAGAAGAGAAGAAGGCGATGGTGGCATTACAGATCGATGGTGGCATTATAGATCGATGAAGGCAATGGTGGCAAAAACCCTAGGTTAGATGTATGGCGATGGCGTCGTTATAGATCGGGGAAGTCAACGACCTGGGTCAACAAGATTTTCTTTTATTGCCATAGATATGGCCACGGGTGTAATACAGGAGAGGAGAAGACATTATGACAATGAATAATGGAGAGGAGGTGCGACGAGAGAGACTCTCGAGTTTAGAGAGCTGAAAACAATATGGGAGAGGTGCGACAAGTGCGATGAAGGTGAGATAAAGACAATGAAGAACCAGAGATGACGAGAGAGATATGTTTGCGTGTGATAAGATGTGATTTGTTAATGGGTGGTGTGGGGTGAATTAATTATGATGGAGGGATGTGATTAAGGCTCCGTTCCGTTCAACTTATTTTTTCTGATCTGATCTAATTTTTTGTAGTTCTAATCTGATCTGATCTGATGAGATCTGATCTGATTGGATCTGATCTGGTCTAATCTGATTAATAATGATTTGATTTTACAATTCAAATCAATAATTTGATTTGACTTTATAATAACGTTTGAATGATAATTCATATTATAATATAATCAATATTTTTTATTTTATGATTTTTTAATAAAATAAAATTACTTAATTCATATATTAGAATAATCATTCATATTATAATGTAATAATATTTTTTATTTTATGATTATTTTTTTGTGAAATTAGAATATTAATTTAATATTTTAATAATTACTTCATATATACATTAGAATAAATATTTAGTTTATATATAAATTAAAAAATTATTAAATTTAGATAATCATAATTTAGAAGAGATTGTATTTTTATTAAAATATTTCATCCTTATAAAAGATCAAAACTTTAGAAACTCAAATTACAGGTAGCAATAAAAATGTATTTTAAAAGTAGAATTAGATTGACATTGTCAATGTATTTTAAAAATAATTTTTACGATGTTTAATAATTAAGGATGACTTTCTCAGTTTTTTATTTAACTTGTTTCTAAAGTTTATTCTTTTTCATAATAATAATAATAATTCTTGATGGGGTCTGATCTAATTGGATCTGATCTGATTGGATCTGATCAGTCTAGATTGGATTTGATTTGATCTATTTGGATCTAGTCTGATGTGATATAATCTAATTCAATCTGATCTGATCTAAGAAAAAATAAGTTGAACGGAACGGGGCCTAAGTGGTCTAAGTAATTGGTGTACATATAATTGGTGTCAAAATATACCCTTTGTTTTTTATCAATAATGTTATTTACTTGTTCACCACATTCGCACACAATTTTCAGGACCAGCCCCAAAAAATGAAAAAATAAAATTGACCGATCTAAAATTTATATTTTGGGTCCTATTTTATTATTTTAGAATACTTATGCTTTAAAATTAATGCTGAATTTAAATATATGGGGCTCTAAAATTTTAGGAGTCCTGTACGGTTGGCCACTTTGTGACAATACAAAGTTCTGGTGTACAAAACGATTTATAAATATGGCGCACAAATAGCATGGTCCTTTGATATGGTACGTCTCAAAAAGCATTGTAGATCTATTAGACTATTCACAATGCTAATTGGGATTTAAGAACGATAAGACATTTTAATATTTGCCACAACATAAAAAATACAATCCCTCAATCCCTTCATCCCACAATGGAAAAATATAAAAGACTAAGAATTGGAGAAAGAAACTAAGAAAACAATAAAGTATTACTCTCTCCACGGTATGGATCAATACTAGGTTCACAATCAACCATTTATTCTCACAAATGCAATTCACCGATGTCATTCGTACTTCCAAAAACCCAATCCCTCTGTCCCAATTTCGCTCTCCATTTTCCATTCTCTCTTCTTTTGTTATTCCGTATTTTTTGTTATTTCATTTTGCAATTTCACCATCCCCATTAAGGATAATCATAGTGCACCTAAACATATACTCCTTATATAGAAGTAATAGAACTACAACTAGTGATGGTAGAAGAAATTGACAAAAAACATGCACATTCACCACCATCTTATTAATGGGAGTGTACCTCTAACCTCTTGTCACGAGAAAAAGAACAGAAGTATGAAAAGGAAGGGCAAGACAAAAACCTCTCACTCCAAAGGCAAAACGTATATGTTATCTCCCGTCACCGGCCGAACATGAGGATTGGAATAGCAGCACCACGTACGGATTCGAGTCCACTCAAAAACAACTACTCCGTATTTGGACACAATAACAATCCAGCGTCTTCAAAAACTGGGTCCCATTCAGCGCAAAAGAAGAAAACAAAAACAAACGATGCAGACACATACGTCCAACTTTCTTGGAGGCAACAAAAGAAAAAACTTTAGCAAGGAAACTGAAAGGAAAAAATAAACCCCCACGAAAGATGTAGCAGAGCAAGAAGATGAAATGAAGACAAGAGTTTAAGGTGGTCGGTCGGCCATTTGTAGAATCTCGGACTTGGGCTCAAGACAGGTCCGGCGCAATTTAGCAACCGGAGCGCGGAGTATAAGTTGCACACCGCCCTCGCGCACGCAATGCACAAACCTCCTCCCTCTTTAGAATATCAGGCTAGGGAATGCCATATAAATATTATAGATACAATTCTATGTATGTATATATCCATACACAGTACCCGTTTAACTTTCCTCATCAAATTTCGCAGCAAAATGGACATTCTTTGACGCTCTCCCAGATTATCTTTATCTATTTGTTTATCATTCTCGATAAAATACGACGAGAAGCATAAAAAAATTGGGTCTTGGTTATCTTTCTCGCTTCTTCTTCTTTTTCTCTTCTTCTCTCGCATCGATCGAGCATTTTTTTAAATACCGTGAACAGAGATCCCTGTTCGTATGTTTCAACGATTGTTCAGATCTTCTTCGTCATATGGAGAACTTCTGTTTGTTTTCTGCGCAGAGCCATTTCGGGTTTCTTTTCATCTGAATTTTAGCTAAGAATTTCGGATGACTTCTTCCCGTGTGCTCCACCGTTCTGAATCTTCAATCTTGAATTAGGGTTTCGGCTCGGATTGCGGGTTTGAATCGTTGGAGATGATAATCAAGCGGAGCCTGAAATCGGTAATGCCGATTTTGAAGAGGTGCCGGGCTGAAGAGCCGGGCGGAGATGAAGACGAGGGCCATAGGAATCGGAAGAAGAGGAAGGAGAACAGTAAAAATGGGTATTACCCGTTGCATCTGCTTGGGGAAGTCGCGGCGGGTATAATTCCCTTTCGTGGGTATGGTCTACAGAGGATTCTTGCAGAGGGAGGCAAGGCCTGTGCTGAGGAGACCGTGGTGGCTTCATGGTGTACTGAGGTTTCATGTTGCCAGGACGAGGCTGACTTGAAATCTAAAGTGAAAGAGAGCATCAATAGAGTGCAGGAGGTTGCGAGGCCTCCACTTGTGAGGACTTCCAGAGGGCGGGTGCAAGCACTGCCCTCTCGCTTCAATGACTCTGTTCTTGACAATTGGAAGAAAGAGAAGAGTAAGGCTACAGTAAAAGACTTGACTTTGGACCCTGAGTTCAATCCACATAGAGAAAAAACCAGTTTGAAGAACAACTGTAAAATTCGTAGTGAAATTGGAATTAACAAGGGCCATGAAGATAATCTGAACTACCAATCCAGTAAGCGTTTGCCACTTTTAGACTATGAAGCAGTTGAATTTGGTGTCAACCGGGCAAAAGGCTTTGATGTTCGGAAGTTTTCTAGTTCCCGGAGTTCACTAACACATGGGCATGATCGTTGCTGGGGAGCAGATAAGGCTCGGAATGATGACTTTGAGGAATATGCAGAGCTAAGCTGTGTTGATGCATTGGCTATGTGTGAGGGAGAGAGGGCCTCTCATAGATTTTTGCCTGAGAACTTTAACTCTGGTGACATAGTTTGGGCAATATCTGGGAAACATTGTCCTGCTTGGCCTGCAATTGTCCTTGATCCAAAAACACAAGTCCCCCCACAAGTTTCAAACTTTCAAGTTGCGAGAACGGTTTGTGTAATGTTCTTTGGTTACTCTGGAAACGGGACTCAGAGGGTAAGACGCGAACTTGATTCTAGCTTTTGATCTTACTAGTGTTTTCTACATGGTTAAGGGTGGTGTGCGTGGAACCGTGGATATAATGGATAAGTGACGTATTTATTTAGTGTCCTCCACATTCATGTGCAGGATTATGCTTGGATTCGGCGTGGAATGATATTTCCCTTTCTTGATTATGTGGACAGGTTTGTAACTCTTAATCTTGTCGGTGTGATGTTAGATGATCATTTGTATCTCACACACACATGAATGTGTTTAACTGTAATATGTGGACTATGTACATGTAGGTTTCAGGGACAGACCAGCTTGAATGATAGCACCCCTGATGACCTACGGTCTGCCATTGAGGAAGCATTTCTAGCGGAAAGTGGCTTTAATGAGATGTTGATGGTTGAAATCAATGCGGCTGCTGGAAATCTTGATTATCTCCAGTCTATTACCAGAGGGGCTGTTGAGGTATCTGTTTCAAATCAAGATCTTGAGTGCAATACACTAAACAAGGCAAGTTTTATGGTGTTTTCCAAACTTTTCTGCTCTCAATTTAAAAATATTGGTATTGTTTCAATGTTAAAACTGCATTATGATGTTTCCTGGGGTTGAATTTGGCTATTCTTAAATGTTCGCTTCCCTTCTCAAAAGTGGAAATGGAAAGACTATTTATCTAGTGAAGTGCATGTTTGATACTTATCTCAAATGCCGTACTCTCTTTATGCAGGATTTGTTGATGAAAAGTGGAGATTCCTGTGAGGCATGTGGTTCATATATGATTCCTAAAGTGTCCAGGAAAGTAAATGATTTGGCTCCTGGCAGCCACCGCTTATGCACTGCTTGTACACGGGTCTGTTATGCTCTTTACTAGTGTGCTTCTGCATTTGAGATGACTAAAGTTTCATGGAAGACATATATGTCATGTTTGTTCTATGTTAATTAATACATCTTCATTCCAGCTGAAGAAAAGTAAACATTTTTGTGGCATTTGCAAGAAGATTCGTAATCCCTCTGATAGTGGTACATGGGTGAGTTAGCTTCACCCTTCTACTTTTACTGATCATATGATTTCCAATTTTCTCTTCTTCATTTATCCTCTGAAGATCTTATAATTCCTTAATGGGTTAGGTACGCTGTGATGGTTGCAAAGTTTGGGTGCATGCTGAGTGTGACAAAATTTCAAGCAGTAATTTCAAGGTCACCAATCATCCCTCATATTATATGTGTGTGTGTGTGTGTATGTATGTATGTGTGTGTGTGTGTCTATATATATATATGTATATATATATATATATATTCATTTTATATAGTGTACATATCTATGGACCTCTTACAAGAATCTCATATTGCTGATTATTATGCTGTTTCCATTGTGTCTAGGAACTAGGAAACACAGATTACTATTGTCCTGAATGCAAAGCGAGATTTAATTTTGAACTATCTGACTCGGACAATATGAATTCTAAATCCAAGTGAGTCACATTGGAATTTGGAACTGAATAGATTTCAAATAAACTTTAACTGTGTCTAATTAACATGGTTAATTGCTTACAGATATAACAAAAAGGACAGCCAAGTTGTGCTGCCTGATAAGGTTTCTGTTGTCTGTGCTGGTGTGGATGGAATTTATTTTCCAAGACTTCATCTGTAAGTTATTGCAGTTAATTCTTCGCCCATTGTAATGGAAAGTTCATGGATTGGTGCAATATACTACATTGCTACAGAGTATATCTGTGGCTTATCAATGCCTCTTAACATCTTTCATACCTTGGTTCATAACTGGCCATTCAGTTTAAAGCTTGTTATATCATGGTGCATAAGCAGTTTTAAGTTGAAGTCAATTGTTGCAGAGTTGTCTGCAAATGTGGGTTTTGCGGAACAGAAAAGCAGGCCCTTAGTGAATGGGCACGTCATACAGGTTCGAAAACAAAAGATTGGAAGACCAGTGTCAAGGTGAAAGATTCTTTGCTACCGCTGGAGCAATGGGTTTGTATCTTGAATCTCTTTATCAGCATTTGAACTGGTTATTTGATTATCTTGCTTATATGATATCGTATCTTCTTTTCTTTTTTGTTACTTTTTTCATTCGGCCATTCCTTCTACATAGTTTTGATGCTTAATGCCATGATAGTCATGCACACTTTTTTTTGCCTCAACATGAGATTTTGGAACTAGGCAACTAGCAAACTATGTTTTGTTATCTTGATTGGAATGGCTGTTCCAAAGTACTATATTAGCTTTTCAAAACAAAATTTCTATTTATAAATTACTTCCAGAGTGATTTATGATTAATTGTGTTTGACTAAACAGAAGTTGACATCTATTTACCATTACAGATGCTACAGATAGCAGCATATCACGAACGGAGTGTTATTCCATCCAAACCTATTAAACGTCCACCTTTGAAAGTTCGAAGGCAGAAACTTCTCTCTTTTCTTCAAGGTAGATACTACCGGGGTTTGAAAATTTTATGGTTTGGCAACGTTTTGTTTTTTCTTGCTTCCAGCATCCTTGATAATGTGACTAACTTGAGGACAATGAAATCTGATAGAAAACTATGAGCCCGTTTATGCGAAGTGGACAACAGAAAGATGTGCAGTATGTCGATGGGTTGAAGATTGGGACTATAACAAAATCATCATTTGCAATAGGTTTGATAAAAAGAATGTTCTTTTTTAAATGATACTCCCTTTCTTCCTATTCTATTTAGGTTGACCAAAGCACTGTTCAAGAAAATGAATTGGGATGATAGTCAAAACTCTTAGTACTTTGTCAGAAATGACCTCATTTAATGGCACTATCATTAGTGTTTCTACATGAAAGGGGAGTAAATCAAATAGTGTAAGAAGGGTAAATGAGGGGGGGGGGGGTGGGGTGGGGTTATATGCTTCAATTTCATAAAGGAAAAGGTACGCAGGAACAAAGAGAAGTGGTCAACTAGACAGAAATAGGAACAAAGGGAGCAATAATAATGTCTCCTCCTTAGTAACAACAATTAGGCCTTAAATCCCAAGAAACTTGGGGTTGGCTACATGACAATCTTGCATTTGTGATATTGTTCTAGTGAAATTCTTAGAAGTAATATCTGAACATCTAACAATTTTATTGACCAATCGTATTTTCATTTTTCAGGTGTCAAATAGCTGTGCATCAAGAATGCTATGGAGCACGAAATCTCCGTGATTTCACATCATGGGTTTGTAGAGCATGTGAGACACCTGATATCGAGCGGGAGTGTTGCCTTTGTCCTGTGAAAGGTTTGTTTCCCTTTTTTCCCCATGTCTTGAATTTTAAGAATCTCAGAAGGAGATAGCTTCTAAAGATACTCTTGCTTGTATTCCTTTGTAAAAGGACATCTGGTGTACAGAAGAAACATGAGCAAACATTAAAAGAAAAAAGTTTCTATTTTTGTTTGTTTTTTGACAATATTGTACTCATATATATTGGTTCACGGCCTCACCCAGTCACCCTACTAATTACTTGTGGGTACTAGTGGACTATTTATTCATTTTTATATTTTGCAGATATACGTTGTTTTACTAGTAATCCTGTCTAAGTTTATGCTAACCTTTTGCTGTTGCACGACAGGGGGTGCTTTAAAACCCACAGATGTGGCTCCATTGTGGGTTCATGTTACTTGTGCTTGGTTTCAACCTGAAGTGTGCTTTGCTAGTGATGAGAAAATGGAACCAGCTGTTGGAATCTTGAGAATTCCTTCAAATTCATTTGTTAAGGTACTAACGGGAAACCGCAATCTGGATAACTAGTTTCATATTTTTATTTGGAACATTATTCTCTGATAACTTATCAAATATTGCTCCACTTTATTTGCACCGGTGGATGGGTATGAATATTATAATTAGGTGGAAGAAAATTTGGAAGCAAGTGGATGAATTTCTTAGATAAAGCTTAAATTTGTGTTTGTAACTTTAATTAGTACTCCCTCTGTCCACCATAGATCTTCCAAGACACTATTCACAGGGTCAAACTTTACTCATTTTATTTACTCAATTTTACTAGTCATTTCATAAAATAATATAGTCTTGTCACCTCTACTTTTGTAGAACTTTTCATGTAGTTTATTACTATATAAATTTTATTTTAAAATTTTACTCCTATAATCAATTAAATTGAATTGAAAATAAAGTCGGTCAAGCCTCGTAACGCGTAATGGGAAGATCATACATGGACGGAGGGAGTATTTAATTTTTTATTTTTAAAATTTCAATTGTTACATTTTACTTCTAGGATAAGGCTTTGTTGTTTTTGTTGTTGTTACATTTTAGTATTTTACTTCTTTTCCAAATTTTGTGGTTTTGGTATAATAGATGTTTGCTTGGCTACATTAACATATCTACAATCTATTAATACAGATATGTGTTGTGTGCAAGCAAATACATGGTTCCTGCACACAATGTTGCAAGTGTTCCACCTATTATCATGCTATTTGTGCATCAAGGGCAGGTTACCGCATGGAGGTGATGTTTTCTTTTTTATTGAATGGCTGCGGATAAGCTAGTCTGTCATAAGATTGTTCATTTTAGCTCTTAAGTAGTGTATCTGATAATGTTGTCACAACCCCACACATATATTCTTGGATAACCCAAATAATCTGAAGTTGTGCTTCTTGCACTGCTTCGTGATACTCCCTTCATCCCAAAATAAGGTTCCAGTGGTACAATTATTAGTACAGGTGAAAGTGTGTGGTTGTGTTTTGTAGAGAGGAGAGAAATTGTTTGAACCCCACAATTCTATCCTCAAAAGGAAAGGGAAACTTTGTTGGGACAAACTATAAAGGAAATGTGGAATACTGGAATCTTTTTATGGGACTTGGAGTAATAGTTTACTCCCTCTGTCTTTGAAACTTTACACTTTCCTTTTAGGGATGTCTAAAAATTAACTTTACTCTCCTCCACTTTTCTCTTTAGGAAACGATTATGTGGTCATCTTTAATTCTCTCTCTTCCATATCAATTTCAACCACACTTTTCAATTATTCCATCTTTTCAACACTTTTCCTAATTTTATTGAAGTCAAACCATCAGATTCTTCCAAACATGGAGGGAGTATCATTTTTATCCAAGTTGTGCTTGTGATGGGATATAAAATGTATCCCGAAAAAGTCACTATATATTTTATAATTTTTTATACATACATGTAAACACTTGTACAATAAAGGTGCATTGCACGTAAGCTTTATGACATATTTGTGTTGAATGCTTACAACAAGTCCCATTGACACAAATGTCTTATTGACATTGTAGATATATGATAATGAAGCCAAAAAAAATTAGCCTGTCAAAATGGAAAAGTTTGAGGGGTAAATTTGTAAAGAATATGTGCAATGCCAACAATGCAAAACCAAGTGCTCGATGCAAATTATACTTAATTTTTTTTCATTTTTTGTTAAGAGCTTGTCATTTTAAAAGAGAAGGTCAAACTCAAAAGTTAATCTCCAGTTTAAGGGTATCTGTTCTCAACTAGTAACTCCATTATCTCAATCCCAGCATGCTGTGCAAGCTGAAGATGCATATGTGGAAATACTAATGCTGATTACATTCCATCTATTCTTCACTTTGTTTTAAATAGTACCATTGGGGTCTCACGTACTTGTGTTCTGTATATCTGTTTCTACCAGAGTTTTGATCTGTTTCATTTTGAAACCATACTAAATTAATCGTTGCTCACAATGTTCATCAACTTGCAGCTGCATTGCATGGAGAAAAATGGGAAACAAGTAACAAAAATGGTTTCATATTGTGCATACCACAGGTAGTGTTCCACTTACTCTAGCTTGATTATAATATGCATATAAGGGCATCAGCAATGAGTAATTGAGATTTTTTGAGCTCGTACTTGTAACTAGAGTTAATATGATGAATGCTGTATTTGGAGAGAGGGCTTCATGTTGTTCTTAAGAGTATGCATCCTATATTCTGTGCAGCAACAATACTTGCACGTATGCATCGCTAAGTTTTAATTTGTATCGTCTTCTTACAGGGCTCCAAATCCCGATACCGTTTTAATTATACATACTCCAAAAGGAGTCTTCTCTGCTAGAAGCCTCGCTCAGACCAAACACACAGGTTCACGATTAATTGCAACAACCAGATTGGGACTTGAGGAAATTCCAGCTGCTGAGGGTGATGAAATTGAACCATTTTCAGCAGCAAGATGTCGTGCCTTTAAACGCCTGAGGAATAAGGTATAAACGAGTGGACATGCGGTATAGAGGAAATCTTTAATTAAAGCAAACTTTTTGTGAATAGTTCTTAATGTTGCTGATCTCAATTCATGGCTTCATAATCTGTTTTATGATATGCCTTTGTAACATTTAAGGAAAATCTTGATATCAAGAAGGGAGTAGGAGAGAAGGAGAGGGTTGGTAGAAGGGAATTCTGTTGCCACATTAATATTTCAAATGCTGAACTGTTCAAGTAGATTAGATAGTATTTAGAGCTCTGGGTAGGACTCCTCATGCAGAGTAACTAACTAATTCAGGGCCACTAACTGCTAACTAAATCAGGGATTTAGGGATTTTATTATTATTATAAGAAGTGGAAAATGTGAGAGAAGGATTCTGAGAAATCCTGTTACCATGACGAAAATATCTGCAAGGAGGATTTCTGCAGCGGTTCTGAAGGAGTTCTGCGACCTCAATATGCCAAGATAGAATTTTCAACTTTCGCTGGAAATTTGATCCGATCAGTTGGCAGTGATGAGAGAAGTTTTCACATCACAGAAAAAAAGACGAAGATCAATTTGGTATTGTTTCATTATTCCCCTTGCTGGATAACACCCACCTTTGGTTGGATGATATGATGGAAGAAAGCACGTGGGATGTGACAATCTTTAATGAACTTTTTGTTAACCGTTTCGAGCCACCCCTGGAATACGACCCGGTGGGCAAATTGTTGCTCTTGATGCAGTTATTCTAGGGCAGAGGAAGACCCACTGAATGGGTAGTGAAGATTGTGTCTCTCTAGCTTGAGCTTGCTGACAAGCTCAAATTTGAGGGAGGGATTGATGTTACGGATCTAGAGTTTAATATTTAGTTATTATTATTAATCTTATTATTATTATTATTACTCCGTATTATTGTTATTATTAGTTTTCTAATAATAATATTATTAGCTTATTATTCATAGGAATATTAATAGTATCTTATTAGTCGTCCTATTCAATTCTAGTTAATAGTATAAATAAGGAATCATGTTTTCTAGTATGATTATGATAGGTCTATTGTAAGGCTTTTGCCAATTTATACTCGCACAACCATTGATAAATTTATAAGTTCAACACTTTTTTATGAGAAGCTAGTCATAGACTGCTCTCCTCTCCTTCCGGCCATGGGCAAGGATCAATATCTTCTTCTTTTACATTTGTTAATGCGTCCGTAACAATCGGCTACCCTTTTACATCGCTGGATTGGTTGCAGTTATTTTTAGATTTATTGAGAAGCCATTTTGTGAGCTTAATCAGCTAATCTACAGCTGTAGAGGATTTTTATTTATCTTAAGCTATTTTGGGACATATATACTTTTATCCTCCTATTTGAGGCTAAGTGTTGAGATAGGTTTCGGGAATCCTTTACGGTTATACTTGTGAGCAAATCCTTAACGGTTATACCTGTGAGAAAATCTGCTAATCTACACTGTAAATGATTAATTGTCCTAGATCAGTGTATAAGTTAGGATTGTTTTGTAGCTTGATTTGCACAACTAAAGAGTGTAATTGTCCAACATTCAACACTATTCATCCTGCTAATGTGACTAGCAGTCCACCATGGACTTCTAATACTTGTAATGTAATACAGAGTATGTCGTTAGAATGCTATTGATTAAAGTTGTTTTTATTTTTTCAGACAACAGGAGAAGAAGCCATTTTCCACCGAGTGATGGGTCCACGTCGTCATTCTTTTGCTAAAATACGCAGCTTGAATCCAATAAAAGTAGACCTCTTTCTTGTCCTATTTCCATTTCTTTCCAGTTTTAGCCTTAGAAGCATGATGTTTCTTACATTTCCTTCAACAGGAAGCAGAGGAGCCTAAAACATTCTCTACTTTTAGGGAGCGGCTTCGCCATTTACAGGCATGAATATCTAGCATTTAGGTCATCTTGTTCAAAGTTTAATATTCAATACTGCATTAGTCAATTTTTTAACAAAAGATATCCAACCTCTGGGCCATTTTGCTTTGTGGATCTACAGAGAACAGAAAACGATCGAGTTTGCTTTGGCCGTTCTGGGATACACAGATGGGGTCTTTTTGCGCGCCGAAGCATCCCAGAAGGAGAGATGGTAAACTCTTAAGCTATTTTTGGTGTCAAACATTTGTCTACCTTATCATATTGTGTAGTATTTGTGGCTGTCAACTGTTACAGTTTCATTAGACTAGATATCACTGAGGGGATGTTATATAATAATGCTAGTGTCATCATGTAATTACTGCATGTTGTAGGAAATTGATGGATGGTTACTCACACTAGAGGGTCTCATTTAATATTGGTTACTGGTCCTGAATGGTCAATTTTATGGCAATACGTTTTGCGGGATGTTGAGATATCCCCCTTTCTACATAAACTGTTGAATTCAGCCACCCAAAAAGAATTTTGATCATTTCAGGTTCTTGAGTATCGTGGTGAGCAGGTCAGGCGAAGTATTGCTGATCTGAGGGAGACAAAATATCGAATTGAGGGGAAAGACTGCTATGTGAGTAGATTAATGCATTTTTCTTTCTTATTTGTAGATTTTACATTAGTACAGAAGCGCGCACACTCTCATACGTACGAGGGAGGAGGAAAAAATGAAATAAATATCTTGCCTAGTCATGTGTTGTCAAGAATTTTCTTTTTCTTTTTTTTGCAGCTTTTTAAGATAAGTGAAGAGGTTGTGGTGGATGCCACTGATAAGGGGAACATTGCGCGCTTGATAAAACCATTCAGTAAGTTCTGCTTGTGAAAGTGATCAATCATCATTAATGTTTTGCATATATTGTTCTTTAGCATTTCTATTTTCAGATTCAGATTCAACCAGAATAAGATACCCAAAAAAAAGAGAGATCATGAGCACTTAAGGAATCGCGTGTTCTTTATTATATTACTATCTTATTTAGAAACTAGTGAAGCAACAGTTTTGTGCTATTGTTTTGTTACAGTGCATGCCAAACTGCTATGCAAGGATTATGAGTGTTGGTGATGATGAAAGCCGGATTGTATTAATAGCAAAGACGAATGTGTCTGCTGGTGATGAGCTAACGTATTTCTCTCTTTTTCTCTCTCTCGCGGCATTTGCTTGTGTTGTTGTACACTGAAGAAGATTGTGCATGTTGTAGTGTAGTACTAATGTTGATAATGCGGTTCTTATTGTTATTATTATTATGGATTCATTGAATGCAGGTATGATTACTTGTTTGATCCTGATGAATGTGATGAGTTCAGAGTTCCTTGCCGCTGTAAAGCTCCCAATTGCCGAAAGTTCATGAATTAGCTTAACATGGTTTCGTTTCTTCTTTCTTTTTTCTCCTCGAGAAGGAGCTCTAACCGTCTTCCTTGGCTCCCTCACGTCGTCATAGTAACACACCAGTACATCATTCTGTAATAATTAATCTCTTTATTTATTTATTTTTTTTTTTGTCATTTTTAGGTAGGTGGAGGGGGGAGGCTTGGTTGTTAATATTATTCTCTTTTTGCGTTCTTTTTTTTGGGGCTTATTCAATTATTATAGGCTAAAAGGTTGGGTCGAGGCGTTTTGTATAGATCGGTTGTTTATTGTGACTGAATGCTAATATGATCAGTTTTCACTTACAGAGAGAATATAGTGGACAGAAAAAAAGGCTTTGCTTGATTTTACATTATATATTTGTGTGTGTGTGTGTGTTTCTTCTTCTTCTTCTTCTTCTTCTTCTTCTTCTTTGGGTTTGTTCCATTACGATGGGGTTTGGTTCAAGCTAGTCATTGCAGGGGAGCGCGTCGATCCCAAAGAAAATGGTAATATGCTTGTAAACTGAAATGGATAATTTAAATGGGGAAGGATGGAGCATGTGATAATGCTCCATGTGACAATGCACCGCAAGATTCCAATACTTTTCTTACCCACCTTTTTTTTGGGGTACATTTCATACCCATCTTTAATGCTGCATTTGGGCAAGCTTTTTTACATTTCGAAAAAAACACCATAGAGAATGATTTTCTTATCATCCAAGTTCCAATATATGCATCGATACACATTAGATTATGACCGACTTGTTCGTGGGAGAAGTACATAAATAATAGTAAAAGATGATGAAAATATCAAAATAGAAGTAGTGCTCTCTTATTGCACACTACCATTTGAAGATGTTCGGTTCTGTCCAAAGAACTATCCAGAGGTATCCGCCATAGTCTAGAAGACTAGGAATTCTCTAGAAACATGGGAGCCTTGCTAGAGACGCTTGGAAGGTTCTGGAATATTATGGAGTAGTGTAGAGATATCATATAGCCTTACAAATATCTTAGATATTTGTGTAGAGTATTCTAGATACTCAATTGTAATCGTTAAATCAAGTAGATCTTAGTTGTTCATTAGGAGGTGGAGAAATATAAATACTCCTCCCCCTCATTCATTTCACTCACTCAAGAAGAGAGAAGCATTGTAAGCTTTAGAGAGAGAAAGTAATACAAAGTTCTTTCTTTGAGTCCGAGTTCCTTCATACTTAGCATCTTGATATTCTGCTAAGTATGAGAGTAGGCTCACTAGCAACTTAGGGAAGAAGTTTGCTAGGCCTCACGGTTCGTTGGAATTACGACCAAGTCCGTGACAGTTGGTATCGGAGCACAAGATTTGAAGGAAGATGAAAGGTGGAAGTGAGTCTACCAACGTGACTAAGGGAGGCGAGAAGAAGACCAAGACATAGAGATCTCGCTCAAGGGAGACCATGGACGCTTTTGAGACAAGGCTAGCAAGGGTGGAAATTGCTATCGCTGACGGGGAGGAGAAGTTCGAGGAGATGGGGCAAGGCATGGATGAGTTCCGTGAGGAGACGCAAGCCGCGCCATAAACAAAGTCCTTGCTCAATGTCTCGACCAAATAAAGGAAGGCCATGGAAGAGTCTCATAAGATCGAGGTTTCTTCAATACGAGAAGAGCTCGAGAGACTCTAGCTCCCGCAAGTTGGAGAGCGTCGAGGAGGAGCTCGTGTTGTGCAAGAAGGCTTTTGCACAAGGTAGTGCATCAATGTTCGAGGTAAGGACTTCATCTTCCAAGTTACATATTCCGTGACCCAAGTCCTACAAAGGGTCAAGGAATGCGCGGGAACTTGATAACTTCATATGGAGCATGGAACAATATTTCCGAACTCTTGCCATTTCCGAAGAGAAACAGAAAGTTGATATGGCAAGTCTCTTTTTTAAGACACCGCCATGGTGTGGTGGAGAAGGAGACAAGGGGATATGGAGAAAGGGACGTGCACCATAAACACTTCAGCCGAGTTTAGGGGTCAAGAAATAGCTAGTTCTACCCTAGCAATGTAGAAGAGGAGGCCTAAGGAAAGTTAAGGCGACTTCAACATAGAGGAAGCATACGAAAATACGTGAAGGAGTTCACCGAGGTACTTCTTCAAATCCTAGACTACCCTGATAAAGAAGCTTTCTTTGCCTTTATGGATGGGTTGCAGCAATAGGCTAGAGTTGAGATTCAAAGACGTGGAGCTCAAGAATTAACCACCGTCATTTCCATTGCCGAGTCCCTTATCCAGTTCAAGAAGCCTGAAAAAACAAAGCCAAAGGATAAGGGTGGAAAGGGAAAGAGTGGGGGAGACCACCACCGAGGCAAAGAAACGACCAAGAAGACGAAGGGAGCCAAGAAGTACAAAGTTGGAGAGAGACCTCCACTAAAATGATTCTTTTGTGAGGGTCCACATAAGGCAAGGAAGTGCCCGAAAAAGGCAAAACTCTCAGCACTGATGGAAGAAATAGAGGAGCAAGAACGTGAAGAGGAGAGAGTAGGATCCTTATAACTCCTCAATGCGATCAAGGCAAAGGTAGATATGCCAATGTCCGGAAAGAAGGGCCGATTGTTTGTAGAAGCCAAGATTGGAGGACACATCGTGAAAGCTCTCATAGAAACGGGTGCTTCTAACAACTTCCTTAGAGAAAAAGAGGCAAAGAAATTCGGCATTTGCTACAAAGGAGAGCATAGTTGGCTTCAGGCAGTCAACTCCAAACCCATGGCTACCTTTAGAGCTGCTCGAGACGTCAAGGTAAGATTAGCTTACTAGAATGGTCTCATAGATTTCTCAGTTGTTACCATGGATGACTACTTGATTGTCTTGGGTATGGAGTTCATGGAAAAAGTCAAGGCCATTCCAATCCCCTTCGCAAACACCATGTGCATCTTGGAAGAAAGCAACACTCGTCTAGTACCACTAGAACGAGAAGCTTGACTCTGAGAGAAGCATATTTTGGCAATGCAACTTTCCAAAGGAATACAGAAGAAGCAACCCACATATCTTGTTGCCTTGAAGGAAGGTGATTACGTTCCACCATCTCAAGACCTCCCAAAGAGTGTTGAACGTGTCCTAGAAGACTTTAAGGATGCAATGTCGCCCGATTTACCAAAAAGGTTGCCGCCAAAGAGGGTGGTGGACCATAGGATCGAGTTGGTTCCAGGTGTCGCCCTGCCTGCAGCTATGCCATACCGAATGGCGCCTCAAGAACTTGAGGAACTTAGGAGGCAATTGAAGGAGTTGGTGGACATGGGGTATATACGTCCATCCAAAGAACCACACGGAGCACCGGTTTTATTTCAAAGGAAGCATGATGGTTCGCTTAGAATGTGTATTGACTACCGGGCGCTCAACAAGATCACGGTAAAGAACAAGTATCTGATCCCACACATTGCTGATTTATTTGATCAACTTGGACAAGCCCGATGGTTTACCAAGTTGGACTTGAGGTCGGGCTACTATTAAGTGAGGATAGGCGAAGGGGATGAACCTTAGACAACTTGTGTTACTAGGTACGGCTCATACGAGTTTCTTGTTATGCCCTTTGGACTCACAAATGCACCAGCAACATTCTGCACCCTAATGAACTGAGTCTTACTACCGTTACTGGATAATTTCGTGGTGGACTGGTGGTATACTTTGATGACATTGTCATCTACAGCAATACTTTGGAAGATCATGTGAAGCATTTAAGACAAGTCTTCGAAGTCCTTAAGGAGAACGAGTTGTACGTGAAGAAAGAGAAATGTGCCTTTGCTCAAAGGGAAGTCACTTTCTTAGGGCACATTGTTGGAGGGGGCAAACTACGTATGGACGATTCCAAGGTACGTGCTATAAGAGAATGGGAGCCACCAAGGAAGGTTTTAGAACTTTGTTCTTTCCTTGGGTTGGCCAACTATTACCGAAAATTCATTAAGGGCCATTCAGCAATAGTCGCTCCACTCACCGACCTTCTGAAGAAAAATCGAGCGTGGGATTGGGATTGTAACACCTCGAAAATAGGCCTATCAGAATTAATTAATTAATAATTAATTAATTACTAAGAAGGACCCAAAAATAAGTGATTTATAAAGTTTGTTAATAAATAATGAAAAATATATCGTTATGTAGAGTTTGACTGTCGGACCACAACAGTTCAATCGGATTTCAAATCGGAGAAAGTTGAACCAAAAAGTGTACCCAGAATGGGACCAAAATTAGTCCCAACCAGGGACTTGCGTTTAAAATCCGTAGGAACTACAACCCCCTCCACTGAGATGCCAAAACAGTAGCCAATGTCACATCTCCCATGTCTCCTTCCCCTTGTCTTCTCATATATAAAGGAATCCATCCTCAACCAATTTCTTTACCATTTCTCTTCAAATTTATTCTGTGAGTTAGCCTTGAGTGTGGAGAACGCAGTGGTGCTGCCAATTTGGTGTGAAGTCGCCGAAACTAGCCACAATTGTTGTTGGAAGTTTCGCTAGAAAATTCTCAAAACCTTCGATAAGCTTCAAGTTAAGCCTGTAGATATATCTATTGACTAAAACGTTCGTAAAGATCGTTTCTACATTCATAAACGGTCGTTTGGTTGAGTTTTGTGTTTGACATGTTTGAAGAACCAAGAATCATAAACCTTGAATTTATTTTTGATACCAATCAATTATGATCAATATAAAGATGATTTTTGATAATAAAAATGATGTTTTTGACAAATAAAATCTTATGTGATGCATGACGGTATGCTAGAGTGTTAACACTCGATGCTACGCTACTAATTGTTATTATTATTGATTGATGAATATTATTGATTTATGATTATGATGATTACGCTTGAATATTTTGATTTAAGTAATGTTTATGAATTATTAAATCATGTTTAAAAATGGATGTATTAATAACCACGAAAATGACGTGTAATGTTAAGGATATCTAGAAGAACTCTAAGACATACCCATTTAGAAATTATAATGACTATTAAGGATATCTAGAAGAACTTTAAGATATACCTATGTGACCAATTCAGAAATTTAGGGTTAAAACGTACGTACGGGATACAAACCAGATATCACACACCCGACAATTCACTATTCGGTGAATACGTAATCCATAAGACTCATAGGGTGGATTATCGATTCTTGTGTTTTACCTTAAACTAGTTATAGTTTAAGAGCCTGGTTAGAAATATTGTCTTCAACTTGGAATATCTAAGAGCTTGTTATAAAAATAATTTGGCCTTATATTAAGAATAATTTAAGAGGACTGTTGAAATATTAAATACTCCCTCCGTTCGGGAAAAACCTTCCCGTTTAGACTTTTTTTCATTTTTTGGATGGTTGACTTATGAGGTGAAATGGCAAAAATGCCTTTACTAAAAAAACTGGTAAAGGAAAGAGTGTGATGACCGAATGGAAAGCTGCAATAGTGGAAATCACTGTTTACATCATGGGGGAAGGGATATGGGTTCCATACATCACATCAAATTTTACAAAAGTAATCATTGACCAAAAATTTCATTTCCCTCCTGGTTTTTTAGCTACCCGCCCAAGTACAAGAGAAAATTTTCATTCAAATACATTCCAGCAGCATTTAAAGCTCCCTGGACCTTCCCTTTTTGGCATCTCCTTCATTCACCTTTCTTCTTTTCCAGGTTCCTTTCTTTCTTCTTTTTCCTTTTCTTGTCCACACTTCCTGGATCCCTGCAAAGAGAATGAATAATGTTCATATAAATACGAAAAAATTGGATAACGCAACTCGACAGCGTATCAGTGATGCGCTACTAACACATTCAAAGCAAAANGAGAAAATTTTCATTCAAATACATTCCAGCAGCATTTAAAGCTCCCTGGACCTTCCCTTTTTGGCATCTCCTTCATTCACCTTTCTTCTTTTCCAGGTTCCTTTCTTTCTTCTTTTTCCTTTTCTTGTCCACACTTCCTGGATCCCTGCAAAGAGAATGAATAATGTTCATATAAATACGAAAAAATTGGATAACGCAACTCGACAGCGTATCAGTGATGCGCTACTAACACATTCAAAGCAAAAATCAGACGGTTCATACTCAGCTCAGAGAGGGCAGATCAACAACCTCGCTGCACGATTTAATGTTTCTAGAAAAACAGTGAGTACCATATGGGCCATTGCAAAGAAACAACTAGAGCAGGGGGTTGCCATCAATGTGAGAAGTCGGTTTATAGCAAACAGTGGCAGGAAAAGGATAGTGATGGATGCACAAGCAATTGCAGAGACTCCCCTGCGGAACAGGACTACTATAAGGAGTTTAGCAGCTGCCATTGGTAAGCCGAAGTCCACCGTTCATGAGTGGATAAAAAAAGGTATGCTTAGGAGCCATTCTAATGCTATCAAACCGTACCTAACCGATGACAACAAAGTGGCAAGGTTGAGGTTCTGTTTGAATCAAGTTGAACCAGACAGTATGTCCCTCCAGCCTCGGTTTAACAGTTTTCACAATGTTTTACACATTGATGAGAAATGGTTCTTTATGTCCAAAACATCACAAAGGTTTTACGTGCTACCCGATGAGGTAGACCCATACAGAACATGTAAATCAAAGAGGTTCATAACAAAGGTCATGTTCTTGTGTGTGGTTGGAAGACCACTAATTACTGATGATGGAGAAGTGTTATGGGATGGCAAAGTTGGCATCTTCCATTTCAGTGAATTAGTGAAAGCCAAAAAAAAGAGCAAGAACAGGGACAAAGGAGTTGTGGAGGTGAAACCCATCACCAGTGTTACCAAACAAGTGACAAAAGACATGTTAATCAACAAAGTGATTCCAACTATCCAAGAAAAGTGGCCTGCACAATTATCTAAAGACATACACATCCAACAAGATAATGCAAGGCCACACATTCAAGGACTAGACTCAGACTTTGTTGATGCAGGTAATAGCAATGGTTTTCACATCAGCCTAGGTAACCAACCCCCCAACTCCCCGGACTTAAATGTACTGGACTTTGGTTTTTTCAGAGCCATCCAGTCTCTAAAAGAGAAGTGTGCTCCAACCAGTGTGGGACAGTTGCTAGAGGCTGTGGAGGGAGCCTACAATGCTTTAACTCCAGAAACTCTAAATAAGGTATGGTTGACTTACCAGCAAGTGTTGACTAAAGTAATGGAGAATGAAAGAGGCAACAACTACAGATTGCCACATATGGGGAAAGACAGAATGGCCAGGGCAGGGACACTACCTAATTGCTTGAACATTGATCCAGATTTAATTCAAAAGACATGTAGACTGCTTGACCAACAGAATGAGAGTACACATGAAGATATGGTTCAGTTCAATACTGAGAGGGCCAGGAGTACCTATCTTCAGAGCTGAACTGAATCCAGGTTTATATTCATGCAGTTTTTGGGTTTTGTTTTGTTTAAGTGCAGTGGCAGTGAATGTGGGTTTTTTGAAGTGGTTACCACATTCACTTTGTTTGCCTTTAGCTTGTTGGTAGTGGTAGTTTTTGGCTTTTGATTTTTGAATTTTGGATTTTGCACCATGTAACCACCTGCCATAAGGTATGTATGTACTCACATTAAGGCAACTACACACTAACTGCTCTATATTGAATAAAATGCAACAGCCAACATATGTTTATGATAAGTAAGCCCACTTCATCATTGCTGATGCTACTCAAAAACATCCCCTTAAGGGTATGATGCTCATCATAGTAGGTTATTTTTCTCAGACAGTGCAAACATTGCAGTCATCACAGAAGTTGGCCTCAGATAGTTCAAAAATCCCCTTGAGTTATAACAGCTTGAGCACTCAGAAACATCCTCTTGAGTTAAAATGTTCATCGCAGTAGCTACATTATTCTCAAACTATGCAAAATAGAATGCAGTCATCATAGACATCTTTTGGGAAACGAGACTTGGATAACGCAGCGGAAAATAAAAATTTATAGTCCAAAACTCGATTCCACCCAAGAACAACTTACGTAAATTACTAGCTATAGTAAGAAATTTACCTTAACGGTGAAAATGAAGAACGGAGGAACGGTCGGGGATGGTTTTGAGAAGATGAACGTAGCGCCAAACGTATGAAGCCTCCAACGTATCCACACGAACTTGCTCCGGAGTCCAAGATTAAACTTGTGCTAGCAAGTTTAATATAGGATAGTAAAAACTATAATAATACTACTTTGGGAGTAATAAATATATAGTAAAAATATTTATCTTATAAATATTTCTTTATAATATTTTGTGTATATTTCTAACACATTAGAAAAATAACTTTGAACACAAAATAAAATTTTCTTCTCTCTAAAATGGGATGGCCGAAAATTGTTAAGTATATTTTTCAAAATCAAGACCTCATTTTATAATAAAGTATATTTAGGAAATTGCTAGGAAATTAATGTTAAGCATAAGTCCATGTATATGTCTTAACACCATGTGTAAATGTTTAATATCTTAGCTACCAAACAAAATAGAATCCCTACATCAAATAATAATCAAATATATCAATTTGACATTAAAAATTCTTTATGTATAAAATCAAAATGGTCTTGGATTTTCCTCTTGAAATCTTCGGCCATCACATATTAAAGTATATCATATTTTATTTTTGACATCAATAATTATCATATAATTAAAATGAT